GGCGTCAACGGCCTTGCCGCTGTGGACGAGGCTGGATCCAGCAAGGAGAATGCTACCGCTGCGCTTCTCGGAAGCTTCAAGGGCATCGAACTTGGCCTTAGCAATAGCCTTGGTCAAGTCCTCCTTGCTGACGGTACCCTCGGCGATGCTCTTCAGAGCCTTAGCGGTCTCCTGGGCAGCACCACGGACAGCAGAGGCTGAGCCAGCGAGCTGGATAGTCAGGAGGCCAGCGTCAGAGTAGGACAGGTTGACGGTTGAGGTGGACAAGCCCGGAACAACACCAACAGCCTTGTTGATCAAGCTGAAGCCAGTGGACCACTTGATGTTGGACTTGCCGCCCAGCAGAGCCGCAAGTACGGCAAGCTCAGGAGAAGCCTGGCCAGTCGTGGCACCGGGGAAAGCGATAACATAGGCGTTTCCAGAGGGGCTGTAGGTACGCTGCTCACCACCAAAGTACTTGGTGGCGGCGGTGTTCAGGGCCAGCTTGCCGGAGGAGGCAGAGGGAACCGACTTGAAGAACTGCTCAGCCCACTTGCTGACGTTCGCGGCAGAGGCACCATCGGCGACAAGGGCGATGTTGGACTTGGCGAAGGCGGCCTGGGCGAAGTCGGAAACGGCGTACTCGCTGAGGTAGGGCTGGATAGGGATCGAGGGCGTCAGGTTGGAGGGAGAGCCGAGGCCGGAGTGGAAAGCAACGGAGTGGGCGGAGTCAAGAGCAAGAGCGGCGGCGCTGGTGCCAGACTGCTTCAAGCGGAGAACAGGCTGGACCTCCTCGTGGAACTCGTGGGCTAGATAAACGGTCAACCAACCATGCCACAATCTCACATGTGTTTGCGAGTCTCACTGGTGTACTTGGTCTGGGAGACGACCTCGGCGAGGAGTTCCGTGAAGTAGGGAAGGTCATCGCGGAAAAAGCTGGCCTCGAGAACGAGGGCTTCGCGGGTGTGGTATGCGGTCAATTGGCTGCCGAGGAGTTCAGACTCGCGAACGATACGCAGACCAGAGCGTTTTGTCGTGTTCTACTCGTTGAAAATCATGTCAGCGCAATGTCTACATAGAAAACATTCCAAGGGTTGGGAACAGGTCGCATCGTACCTTGAAGGCGAAGGACTCGAGGCCAGCGGCCAAACCGGGAAGAGGCTGGTATCTCGTACCGGCCTTTGCCACGATGGCCAACTTGGTCGTAGGGCCCTGGGAGTCTCTGGCAGCAACCTTGACACCACCAACGTCGGCGGTCTCAAAGGCGCCGGAGCCAGCAGCAGCGCTGGCGAACCGGCGACCCGAGATTGTGCGAGCACAGCTCGAGTTGCGGAGGGTCTGCTGCGCAGCCCTCGTGAGGGACGGTCTAGAGATCATTGCGATGATGCGGTTGCCGACAATTGGCAGATCCAGTTTCGTGACGCTCGATTCGTCGGAGCTTCAACAAGAAAGTGCCTCGTTCACATCCCGACCAATTTTCGATCCATCGAACGAGGTTAGCTACGGGTCACTCGTACCGTCACGTGATGAAAAACTGCCTTATCCCCGAACCTCCAATGAAAGCCCGTCTGATTACCTTGCACAGGGGCCTAACACTCCACTCTGCTTCCTCCATCGCCCGTAGTTTACCTTAGGTAATCAAAGTGATGAGTCGCAGAATCCGTGAATCCCAGGTTTCCGACATTACCTAGGTTGTGAGGCTGGTGTCAAGCCACAGCCACATGCCATCCCAAGAAGGCCTCAATTGACGTCTCAATTTTGGGCTCCATTCGAGCGTCGCAGATCCATTCTTACCTAAGTTTTTGGCACTGCACCTCAGAGGTTCTAGCCACGCCTTCCATCCACCTGGAGCTTCAGCCTCCATGACTCTGTCGGTGACTCGGCGCTTTCCATCGACTTTGTCCCCCACCCCGCCTTAGGTGGCCCGCCGCTCAGAAAAAAAGTTCCCATACTTTTATTTCAGTCCCTCCACCACTTGAAGACCGCGACCCTCACTACGACAAAATCATTCGTGGCCAAGTGCTTTGTTCAATACCCAGCACACGGCACTGTATTATCTCAATGACTTCTCGGTAGCTTGTGTGGCAGCTCTAGGGATATTGAGAGGATCTCTAGAGTCAATTGATTCCTGAATCCAAGCTTCGCCATGTTGGTGGTAGGTTTCGCATCGCGCTGATCAAGCTGAAGTCATAATCCCTCTAACTCCTCCACCAGACCAAGCATGGCGCTGAGCTATGCGCTCACCTCGTCAACGATATATGCGGCGAGCTACCTGCAGTAAGTGTTAAACACTATCCCCATGTCTCACACGGCGCAACATCATCGCACACTCTACACATTATGTACTCTCAACAGATCATGCTAACAAATGCTCTTCTTCCAGCGAATTCTGGCTGTGCTATTCAGCAAGGGCAGGTCTACCATTGCTCAACTAATCCAAACCACTGGTCTTACTCCGCGGCAGCTGCGCCATGGCCTAGCCCTCCTCGTTCAGCAAAGCCTTATCTATCACGAGTCCGACTCCAATAACAAGATCGGCACGTATGAAGCGAATCCCGATGGATGTTACAATATTATCCGCGCTGGGAAAATAATCGAGATGGTTGGCACCGAATTCGGCCCCGCGGAACAGGAGATTGTACAAACTATTATGCAGCTCGGCCACGCTAGGGTATCGGATCTCTTACAGGCTTTCGAGGGGAGGAACGGGACAGGTCTTAATGGCGACCATGCGACGAATGGTCATGTCAATGGCAACGGCTCTAAGGCAAAGGTCAACGGGCATGGGCCGTCGCATGCGGCTCAGGAGCTCCACGCTGTCTTGAATCGGCTAATTGTGGCGGAAATTGTTGATCAGGTTGGGCCCAAGACGTTCAGAAACCCTGAAGACGTTTACCGCGAAATCGAAGAGGAGGTCACCAAAACGGCCCCTGGCGAGCGAGCGACAGCACGGAACAAGGAACTCATGCAAACAGAAGTTTCAAAGAGACTCCGAGAAGCACGCGACGAGAGCAAAAAGTTAAAGCGACAAGTCGGACGAGGTAACATGTTTTCGACCAAGCGGAGGAAGCTTGCCAATGGCAAAGGAGCAAGAGAATCCGCAGACTGGGATGAGGATGTACCTGAGATCGACGTGAGTCTTCATCTGCACGAAATACTCTCTTCCTCTTCCCTGGCTAATCACAAAGTTTAGTCGCACATTGTTCTCAGAGTCAACACCGAGAAGTGTCTCGTTGAGCTGCGAAACCAGAAGCTAGCCCAGTACGCAGCCGATGCTTTTGGAGAAGTCACCGGCCTTGTATACCACACGGCTCTACGGCTGTTGACGCAACAGGTGTCCCGCTGTCAGTTGGATCCGAGAATTGACTCTGATAACGACGCAGACGGTCCAGGCTCAAGCACACGCCAAGTCACTGTGACCAGTCTGGAAATACTCGAAAACCTTGATGAATCCGTTGACGTCTCTCATGGAGTTGGAAAGGCTTCTGCAGATCAGATTGACGTTCGCAGTGCTGAGAAGGTTAGAGCCACGCCAGGCCAGCCTATGTACGATTCCGACGACTCTGATTATGAACCTCCGATGGCTCCGAGGGCTTCTGCTCGTCCCAACATGAACGGCGCAGCAGATTCGGGCGGTTCCGAAGACGAGGGGCCACGGACAGCTTCTGGATCCCGCGAGGTCAGATTCGAAGATGGGCCCATATCCGGCGCTAGCCGTATCGATAAAATGAGGCAGCATTTGCTACTACTATCTGAAAGCCGGCAAGGATTTCTGCGGCACTGTGGCAGTCAAGGCCGAGGGCAGTGGACCGTCGATTTCAAGCCATTAATCGAGGGTTTCAAACAGACAGAGGTGGATGCCGTCATCGAGCAGTCATTCGGTCGGCATGGACTGCGTTTGACTCGCATTATGCGAGAGAAGGGCAAGCTGGACGAGAAGATGCTCCCGTCTCTCGCTCTCATGAAGAAAGGAGAAGTTCAGGGCAAAATGCTTGCCATGCAGATGGCCGGCTTCGTTGATGTTCAGGAGGTTCCCAGAGATGCCAGTCGAACAGCGACGCGAACAATGTTCTTCTGGTTCTTTGACATTGAAAGGACCGAGGCGCAGCTGGTTGATGACTACTACAAAGCAATGCTCCGATGCCTTCAAAACCTGGAAGTGCATCGCTACCGAGAACGCAACATTCTGTCATTCGTCGAGAGAAGGGACGTAAAGGGCAAGGAGGAAGAGGTCATGACTGCAGAACACTACAACAAGTACAGCAAGTACCTGGAGTTGCAGAGCAAACTTCTGGCTCATGTCATGAGACTGGACGAACTAGTGGGAGTCTTCAGAGACTACTAGATTGAGGCATAGAACCGTACACTACGCCTCAGGTGCCACCATCATCGGCATATGCAATGAGCTATTGAGCGGGTGGCTCCAAATTGGGGAGGGCAAAAGGATGATAGATACCCAAAATCAAAAGGAAGCGCAGTTTTTTCCAGGAACGGCGTCTCAGCATTATATACAGGCTTCCCTAGCTGAAATGGGGGTGCGACTCTATATTTCGTCCAAGCGGAACGTTTTGTTCTGACAACATGATATGATTTCGAGTGAGAATTTACGTTCAGTAGGTCGCGGTCAAGTGAATCCGTATCTATAGACCGAGCCGCAATCCAGTCCGATCGGTCGAGAACGGTCTGAGCTAGCGTACCGGTCGGTAGATGGAAGCTGCTTCGGCGCGGCGAACCAATCCCTGCCGTGCTAGGCTCCACTTCCCGGTGCTCGACGGTCCAGGGGGGCCTGTCCCTGCAGGGTCAGCAAAAGTTAAGCTGCGAGTTCGGTCCAAAGTGGTTGAGTAAAAATTTCCCAGCTGTCGACTCCAAAACTTTGAATCACCCTCCTCTTTTGAGCTCCTGATATCCGTGCCCCCACGACCTGACGACAGTCCGAACCTCTGGAACCCGCCTTTCTTTGCTCTTGTTCAATTGGATTTCTATAGTTTCCTCTTCGCACTTTATCGCAGATTCCTATCAAGATGTCTCCGACTGCTGGTACTGGACGGGAGAAGGAGTCGAACACCGCGCGACTTCTGGGCTCCGGTATGCTCCCTCTTTTTTGCGCCCGCGCATGAAAGCCCGGCGCGCTGACGTTTTGCAGGCTCCGCTGGTATCGCTGAATTGGCCGTCTTCCACCCCGTGAGTTCCACGAAGAGCTACGATTAGTCGAAGAGCTGTGGGACGAGAAGCTAATAAGAAGCTCAGGTCGACACCATCGCGAAGCGCTTGATGAGCAACCAGACCAAGGTACGCCGGACCGAGCTCCACCCCCTCCCTTTCCTGCCTCCCGCAAGCAAAGCTTCAACGACATGGGAAAGCTGACACGTTTTCGCATTCAAGATCTCCGGCGTCGAGCAGCTCAACAAGGTCATCTTCAAGGACACCGCCAACGCGACAGCGGGCCGCAAGTTCGTTTCGCTCTTCCCCGGTCTGGGATACGCCGCCGGCTACAAGGTCCTCCAGAGAATATACAAGTATGGCGGTCAGCCCATCGCCAGGGACTTCTTGGCCAAGAACTATGGCGAGGACTTTGAGCGCGCCTTCGGCAAGAAGACTGGCAAGGCTATCATGCACTCCACCGCCGGCAGGTGAGTAAATTCTCTCAATCGCAAAGCTCGGAGACCGAGAACCTGTGGGGACAGACTCGCATTTCTGACGCACGACTTCATCACAGTTTGATTGGTATCGGAGAGATCGTCCTCCTTCCCCTCGACGTCCTTAAGATCAAGAGACAGACAAACCCCGAGGCCTTCCGCGGCCGTGGTGTTTTCAGAATCGTCGCCGACGAGGGCTTCGGCCTGTACAGAGGTTGGGGTTGGACCGCCGCCCGTAACGCTCCTGGTTCTTTCGCTGTAAGCGCATTCTAGTCTTAATTTCGGGTCTATGACAGTGACTAACCTGTATTTCTTTCCTATCGACAGCTCTTCGGTGGTTCCGCCTTCACAAAGGAGTACCTTTTCAAGCTCGAGGACTACAACAAGGCCTCGTGGTTCCAGAACTTCATCGCCTCCATCGCCGGCGCCTCCGCCTCCCTCCTCGTCTCCGCTCCCCTCGACGTCATCAAGACCCGTATCCAGAACCGCAACTTTGAGAACCCCGAGAGTGGTTTCAGAATCATCTCCAACATGATGAAGAACGAGGGTGCCACCGCATTCTTCAAGGGCCTGGTTCCCAAGGTAAGACTATTCAGCAGCTCCCCTTCAACTCCTTCCTCTATCGATCACCTGCTGACATTCGATTTTCCTTTTAGCTCCTCATGACTGGACCCAAGCTGGTCTTCTCATTCTGGCTTGCACAGACCCTCATTCCCGCCTTCGATGGCATGATTAAGAAATAAACGAAGAAGAAGAAAAGGAGCCTAGATGTTCACAACAAAAAGAAAACAAGCAACGGCGTTGGATGGGTAGAACGTGGAGTCTCGGAGCTGAGCCCGATAGATCGTTGGACATGACGAAGACTCGATGAAAGGGTATAGACAAAGATGAGAGAGCGAGGCCTAGCAGCTACCCGAAAAGAAGGTTGGCTTGCGGCCCGGTTAATGTACAACAAAGTAGGGTTCATCTTGATGAGAAAAATCGCCTCTGTTATTAATAAAGATACATATCAAAGACAATGCCTCTATCGGGAAACATCAAGGCTCTTGGTCCTTGGGGATGTGACTTTTAATCTGTAGAAGCCCGCACCCTGGTATTTGAAGCTGTCTGTGGGTGCTCCATTGCTAGGCAAATCTCAGCTTGAGGATCAATATAACAAACTTAATCAGTAAACATAGGCTCTACAGCTTAGCAATGGCATTATCTCCCGCAAGCAACACCTCAATTTCCCGTCCTACGGTAGTCCCTCTCTCAATTGCCCCGTCAATGAACCCTCGCCATCCATCGGCCCAATCGGCGCTCGCGAAGTGAACCCTTCCTTCTGGTCTTTGGAGCTCCTTAAGCCACTTGCTCATTGAATTAGGTCCCCAGCAACTCCAAGTCCCTTTGGCAAGGCTGTCGTTGGCCCAATCGTGGGTGAGGTAAGCTGTTACCTCAGCTTCAGGTCTGATGTTATTTCGAAAAGTCGTGATCATCTCAGTAGACGCCTTCGTGTCGATATGACGCGCGCCATAGCCAAACCCGATGCAAAAATTGCCAGAGTCTGCTTGGTCAGTGGTGCCATTGTGGTCTGAGAATGCAAAACACCAAGGTGAAGTCCCATATCCATTCGCCATGGAGAACCATCCCGGTTCAGGCTTCGCAAGCCGGAAATGAACTTTGCTTCCCTTATTGATGTGACCTGCCCGAACGGCTTCCATTCTGAGTGGTGAGAGCGGGGGGGAGAAGGACACGTCTGACAGACAGTTCCTTGGGCATATTCTTAGCATTTTAGGAATTCAAGTTGAAGAGGAAGCACTCACAGGGGAATAGTTGAGATACAATACTTGGCCTCGAACCGACGTCCATTCTTCGTAAACACCACAACAGTCGATCCCTGCTGCTCTACCTTCTCAACCACGGCGTTTAACACCACATGTCCGCGGTAGTCATCCAGAATCGCTCGGGCCAGCGAAGTCATCCCGCCTCCACCGAGCTTGTACATCCCAGCAAGCTCAAACGTTCCGGCCATAGAGTGGCCTCCCAGAGCATACCACCGCAGAACTTCAGTGAAACCGCACTCGCTGCCGGGGGCCGCGCCAAAAGAACTGATCATGGCGTCGAAGAGGTCCTTGTCGCGTTGGCTAACGTCGAGTTGATCCAGACGGTCTTTGGCGGAGAGATGATCGTACTTTGTCCAGAGCGCAGGAAGGCGGAATGGGTCGTGGGGATAAGGCATCAACTCGCGGCTGGACAGACCGTCGATGGAGAAAAACGCATCCGCGACATTTTGGACGGCTAGGTTGGTGGCAAGAGTATCGACCAGCGCAGGCCTCGAATCTTGTGGTGTGTAGAATGTGTGTTCCACGGCAGCTGTGCCTGAAGACGTCTTCAGGTTGAATTGTAGGCCGTATCGATGGATTTCTGTAAAAACATGGGGTTGATGCCTGTTCGTCCTCTAGTCAGTCGGTCTGCATCATTTGCTTGGTGACAACTTGAAAAGACTTTCCAGTGTACCCATGTCCCGCCCATCTCAAAGTCCTCTCCCAGCGCATTGGCTGTCCATGTCCTTCCTCCTATGCGATCTCGGCCTTCCAAGAGAAGAACTCGAGTGCCAGAGTCACGGCTAAGGTTGCGCGCGGCAATGAGACCGGCGAAGCCGCTTCCGATTACAATTACGTCGTATGTTTCTGTGATGGAAGATTCCAGGGTAGATTTGATCACTGCCTTTGTACTTAGACCGATCGTCTCCCCGGATGGAGTCCAGAGGTAGCCGTCTCGAGTTGAAGGCATGGTGTGAAAGGAGAACAACGGGTTGTAGAGCGGATGATAACCTATGACGATGTCCAATGAGAAATTACTAGAGCAAGCTAATAAAAACAAGATGATCCAAAGCCTGAAGCCGACTAGAAAGGCAGAGTCTATTTATGCCCATGTCCATCACTCCTGTCTCTGCTATCGCCGTTGTCGACTACATCGTGGTGGGTGGGGACAAATATTTCCTAATTAGGACAAAAAGTGCGAGGTGCGCTAATACATCCTGAAGCGTGTAAATGGATGGCATTCAACTGCCGAGACCTCCAAACTCGCTGATAACGCTGGTTCTTCTTTGAGTCTTTATACTTGAATGCTTTTCTACTTACTCCGTCTCTGCTGAGACCAATGCCTGGTAAAGTCTGCGGGTTCTCATGTGTAAGTCTGGGCTGAAGTACCTATGCCATGCTTGTTGTACCTTTACCCCAACATTGTTTCTAGCCCCCTTTCTTCCATTACATCGATCCAATGATGATTTTGAATCTTTGGTATGAGATCCCCAGAGCAATCTGCAGCGTCTAAGTTATCCAAGCGCGACCAAACTTCCTCTAAGATGAGCAACCCATGCCTCACGGGCTTCAGTCGAATCAACTGGTAAAGCCAACGGGTGCGTATTTTTACAAAATCTCTCCACCTTGCGACCTCTTTCGAACTGCATAGAAACTCAATACCTTCACCGGCAATATTCTCTCCCGAACCTAGACCGAGAACGCTCCCGGCGATGATGAGCGGTAAAAGCTGCGTCGAGACGGTGCCAGATGTGACGGGTATCCCTTCCATGATCCAGAGTATTCTCAAAGCAAGATTGCAAACTCTTTCTACCGGCCGGTTCTTCTCCTGCTCATCATCATTCAGCCCGGCGTCGTGGTTCTGAACGACGTGTGTGCCCACTACTTCGGGAAATGCCCTAGTCAACTCGAGTAGAGCCGCCAGCCGGTAACATTGCTCCATGGCGATGAGGTGACTCAGAGGCGTAAAAACATCCCCGATATCCGTGAATGAGCTCACAGTCGGCGCTTCAAGTGCCGAAATGCTCTTTATCAAGGCCGTGGCTTGTCGTAAGAGATCCGAGTAGTAGGATGTATCTTGGATAATGCCGTCACTCCTTTGGAACATGCCCGACGAGCTACGCCGCAGAGCTCTCAGTCTCCTCACCAGCGCCGCCGTTTTAGCGAGGTAGATAAACGTGGCTGTTCCGACACCTGTCCAGGGACATGGGTACCTTTTGAGAGAACATGAGAGGTGGCAGAAGACGTCTAGATAGGATAGGGCATCTGTGTCTTGGTCCACGATGAAGGAGGTCATGGCTTCCCAGTACACCATGGATGAGATCACAAAATCTTGCGTCGCGCCCATTACTCTTCTGTCGTTGGTGGTGTTGAGATGGCTGGATGACATCCAAGCCTTGAAGAGTTCCCTCGATCCGTGGAGATGCACTAACCCCGTGGAAGATACGTCGTGCCAGGCCTATTTGTAAACTCATCAATCATAGACCACAGGAGAATTTGAATGAAGCTAAGAGAGCGTTGAGAACATACCGATGTCATTCCTAGTAAGATAGTCCCCAGCAGCACATCATCTTGAATATTAGATCCAACAAATCTCCCTACTGTTGATTCATGGCGGATGGACACTTCAAGCCCGTCGATAGGGGGTGGCGTGGGTAGCTGCCCAGCTAAGTATGAGATGGCCTTGGTCTGGAGTTCCAATGGAACAGCAATCTTTGACTCTTCGTTTTGGTACAGGTGTGCGGCGGACATGCTCAACACGCAGTAGAGCAGCAGCGGAGACTGATTGAATAGCCTGGGCACTTCCGAGCGGAATGGATTGTGCAAGGAATCGAACGAGGAAAGAACATGGCAGACTGTAGAAAAGTAATAGTGCAAGAGTGCTGATACCTCTCCCGAACAGTCCTGAAACGGCCTGATGGTACCTATGCTCTTCAACGTGCCTGACACCAAGACAGTATCGAATTCCCTGGTCTCAATGGGACGGGGTACATCTTCAAGATGTGTAGGTGCCAGCAATGTCGGATTCTCCGGCAACACTGGGAGTCTCTGGTCACGTTCAGCCAGTCTGGAAGTCTTTCCTCTGCAAACATTAGCCGTGTTGCGGTCAGAGACCGCCGTCTTCTCATATTTGGTAGACCATTTCACAGGTCTCTTGTATCCGGGGCATTCGGTCCCAATCTTGACACATCTCTGGCAGCTCGGCTCTTGCTCGTCGCACTTGACGCGCTTTTGGTTTGCACTCCGTTGTTAGATTTGAGTCTCAAAGCTTTCGATAGAAATGCCAGCTCATAACAGACTCACCCGTCGCTTACACACGAGGCAACCACCTTGATTAGAAGCCGGGTGTTAGTCAAGGGGCCGGCCACAGTAGATATAAGAGGTCCGGGTGTTACCCACTTCGAGACTTTTCCTTCTTATTCCGAACAGGCTGGTTCATCGTCATTGAAATAATAGAGATCTAAAATCCAACTTTATTGAGAATTGTTTCATCCAATCCTGAAGTATGGTGGTTGTCGGCTTGGTGTTATCGGGTTCCCCGCTCTCTCGGAACTTGTACGGAACGGTTCGGTGTTGTGGTGCGGAACGGGCTCCGACTAAGATAAGGGAGATAAAGAGCATTTACCATTTCAATGATGAGATTTTCGTACAACTTAAAGAGCTGCATGGTCTCGGAGAATCGCGTGTCTCAAAAGGAGGCACTACCTAAATGTAAGATTGAAGAGAGGTGGACTCGATTGTGTGGACCTCCCGTGCCTGATGTTGGTATGAGGGTTGAGGGATTGGAGGGAAAGTTGAGGCAAATGTCTTACTTCCTACTTAAACACTGAGATCGCTGTGTCTCGTTGTCATTCGTTTCCTTTCCAATGGGGCTATTCGTCTATAGAGGATGAGGCAAAGTCCTTCTATCCTCGAAGAGCAGCAAACATGTCCAGACAGAATATCACGCTCATCTAGGATCGCGAATCCTAAGTTTTCTATTTGTACCGCCTCACACAAATTACAGTGACTCATAGATCATTAAAGACTCATCATTAGATAACCAAAGACTGAATGTCATACTTTCAATGTCAACGGCTTAGTCGCCTTTGGAGCTATTAGTAAGTGTAAGGTCTTGTAGCGCGAGCTTAAGACGATTGCCGTATTGTGAAAACGAACTTTACCAGGAAACCCTATGTACTTATTTGACTCATCTCAACTAATTAGCCCAAGAAGTCTGTAGAGGAACAATTCTGCAAGGAACGTATTCTCTATTGTCCCTCTCATGCTCTTTGGTGGAGTCTAGTGAAGGTTCGGGGACTAAAGCGGGCAACAGCCAGATATTTAATACAAATCTCATATTATCAGGAGTTATTCTGACATATATTCCCTCAGAAGAGTTATCTTGAAGTGTAAACAGCCTCACTTCCACTCTTCACAACCACACAAACTTCCTTCTAGACACAATCCCTCGGTATCCCATCACGATATGATCATCTTGCCCGCCTCAAACTACCACATACGACCATACCCATTGGAAAATTCGGGATCCCGTCCGCTCTCCCATAGACAAGCCAATGAGGGCCGGATTAGTAGTTGGGTCGGTGACGACCAGCGAATACCTGGTGTTGTATGTTT